ACACAGCTCACCACATCATCCTCATAACCACCAGCCAGCACCAACGAGTAGGCACCATCATTGCTCCGGCCATGGATGCCTGCCACATGTGGCCGATGCACACCAGACTCACTGACCTGTGAACACCACCAAAAGACCCATTGCATCTCCTGGGAACTGTGACCCTACCCAGACCCCAAGATGACAGTCCCTGACAAAAGCACACTGGCCCAATGGCTGAGTCCAGCCACCATAAAAGAGCTGCCCATGATAGATAAAGGGTCAAGTTGCAACCTGGGACCCTCTCCAAAGCAGGCAGCCCCCTGAATCCCACTCAGCAGCATTTCCTGCCCCAAGCCACATGAGACACAGACTCAACAGAGAAACGTCTGGAACCCCGTGGGATCAGAGGATACCTGGACTCTGAAGCGCCACATGGTGCCCACAGGGACGCCGGGGATGGGCCCGAAGTGGTTGGCAGGCACAATGGTACACTCCTTGGTGCGGCCCACACATGCCATACCCTGCCATGTAGAAAGAGCTGTGTGAGCACTGGGAGTGGGGAACAGGGACAGGGACAAGAGGGTGTGTGTGTGTCTCACCTTTCCCCAGTCCCGCCGGGAGGACGAGGTGGCTGAGGCCATCTTTGCCTTCTTCTTGCTTTGCTTCAGCTTCTCACCTGCTTGCACCACCTCACTGGAGTCAGTCCGACAGCTGGGGCAGTACCTGGGACAAGAAGAATGTCACCTGCATATGGCCAGATGTCCAAGTACAGGACAGGTGGTGTCCTTCCCCACAAAATCACAGACAGGCCAGAGACAAGGGACTACACAGCCCACATGGCTGTTTAGAACCAAGGTCACTAGGGCTGAATCAAATCAGAAACTTGCAGTACTGGCAGGATGGACCACTCTTCCCTGTTTTTCGGAGGGGAAGAGGGGCTGCAGCAGGCCACCAGGCTACCTGGGACCGCCACCCGCACCTGAGGTGTATACTCAGGGCCCGACCAGTACTCCAGGAAGCTGTGGACATGCTCCACCATCCGTGTGCAGCTGGAGGCACAGGGTTAAACTCCAGGCTGGACCATCCCTACAGAATCTCTATGAATGTTCTATTGGACATAGGTTTCCTCAGCCTTCCACTAACAGCCCTGAGAAGGCAAGTGAAATGGTCAGTGGGCAGAGGCTTGCCACCAAGACTCAGAACTGGCATTTAATTCCCCAGGACTACATGGTAGAGAGAACCGACTCCCAAAAGTTACTTGCTAATCTCCTCACGCACATACACAAATAAATACAAGAAACACAGCCGTGTGGCACACGCCTTTAATCCCAGCACTCAGGAGGCGGAGGCAGAGGCAGAGGCAGAGGCAGAGGCAGGCGGATCTCTGTGAGTTCCAGGTGAGTCTGGTCTACAGAGTGAGTTCTAGGACAGCCAAGACTACACAGTGAGACTGTCTCAAGAAAAATCAAAACAAAACAAGAATGAATAAATGGATAGATAGGTGGATAAATAAAATCAAGTTAAGTTCCAATGCTGAGTAAGGAAGAAGGCATGGGTCATGTGATAGCACCTCTCTCTCTGCCAAAACCCCAGGTCTCCCATCTACAGAGTCAGGCAGCCAAGAGGTCCCCTCTGCACACCACTATCAGGAATACAACAAACTCCCCAAAAGTGCAGTCACAACAGAGTGGGGCAGAGCACAGTGGCAGGCCTGAGGGACACGAGCTAGAGATTCCCTTAACACTAGTACAGCTGTCTCTCACTAAGCCTGCAGCCGAGCTGGCAGTCAGCAGGTCCCAGTCATTCTCCTGTCACTGTTCCCCCACTACTGGGCTCACAGGGTCATGCAACAGCCACACCCAGCTTTTGATTCAAGTTCTGGGACTTGAACTCAGGACTGAGGAACTGTGCAGCAAGGCTGAGAGCCATTTCCTGGCCTGTCTTAAGTTCCCTTCTGGGCGTGCCAGGTGACCCCAGAGGTCCACCACTCACCACTCAGGCTCAGGGGGGACACAGGTGAGCTGTGGCTGCAGGCAATACAGATGGAAGGCCATGTCACACTCATCACATAACAGCTGCTTCTCTGGAGCCTCACGACCACCACACACGTGGCAAGCACACTTGCGACATGGTTTGTTCTCATCGTCCTTGCAGTACTGGCAGGATGGACCACTCTTCCCTGTTTTTCGGAGGGGAAGAGGGGCTGCAGCAGGCCACCATGCCACCTGGGATCGCCACCCGCACCTGAGGTGTATACTCAGGGCCCGACCAGTACTCACGTTGCGAGGGGCCCCCAATCAGGGGGTTCCTTTCATTGGGGAGCTCAATCTTGAAGACTTCATCCACAAACATGATCCGGCAGTTATCAAGCTGAGAATCATTTCTGCAGAACATTCCAAAACATTAGAGCACTGTGGGGCTAAGCCTGTCTTCAGATCTGCTAAGGAGGGTTAGGCAGGAGGATGGCTGCAGCCCAGGGGGTGGGTTTCTCCCCACTGGTTTCTGCACGTGTATATTCTGTAACATGGGCACTATCCTACATACAGGTCAGAGCATGCATGCTCAGCTGTCTATTCTCAACTTCTGCCTGCACATGTCACATGTCGGGCTAGCTGGCTCTGGACGCTCAGGAATGCCCATGTCCCTACAGCAAGCACTGCTAGCAATACAGACTGGACTACTGCAAGTGGCTTCTATATGGGCTTCTGGGGATTGAACTCAGGCCCTCATATTTACACAGCATTGAGTGAGGAGTGAGGAGAGACCCTGGGCAAGACAGTGAGATCGGGTGCCGCCTAAATGAGGCCAAGGCCATTGGATCTCTGAAGGTCCCCATGCACACAGGAAGCTACTAAGTCAGGCTGGCAGACCTCCTAGAACTGCTCAGGCCCTCCCAGTGTGAACAATGTGGACAAATGCACAAGACCCTAGAAAGCCGAGTCTGAGGGCCGCAGGATGGCCAGCTGTGAGGGTAAGGGCGATGCCAGAGTCCGTGTCCAGTAAGGACACTCACAAGAGCATGACGTTGCCATAGAGCTCACGCGCTGTCCTAGTCCGACGCTTCCTACAGATCTCAACGTCATACCAGAAGCCGCGTTTCCTGGGATAGTCCACATTGTAGTTGACCATTACCACCTGGCCGACCTCCAGGTCCTCCCACGGGATCACAGTGCGGGCTCGAGCGCGCACATCCTTGGCTTTGACAACCTCCACTCCATTCTCTGGGTAGCTGCAAGCAAAGGTCCAACCTTAGATCCCCAGGACACCACATGCTGGGTGACCCTGGCCATCTATGCTGGTGGGCCAAGTATGTGGGACATGTGAACAGATGTGACCTCCCAAAGAGGCCCAGTCCCCATCCCAGAAACCAGGGAGATGGCAATTTGGAAGTGAGGTGGGCCTGATGGAGTACAGACAGCTCTGGTTTCTCATGAGAGAAGTGACAGGCAGAAGAAAGCATGTGATGCAGACACCACAGTGAGGTGGCCATGCGCCCTGGACCACCAGGACTGCCAAGTCAGGGCAGCTTGGGACAGCTGGCCTAGGGACCAGACTTTGGGAAACTATGGGAGGAGAAAGTGAATGTGTATTTCCCCACATCCATGTATGGAGGCAGATAGAGTAAGAATGCAGCCAAAGTGACCACCCCAGAGTACCACCCCCCACCCCCACTGCAAGGCATGCTCTCTGGGCAGCTGTGACCTACACCATCTCAGATTCATTCACTTTCAGATCCACCACAGAATTCAGCTCAGCAAGCATCTTTCCACAAAGGACTTCTACACTAAATGGCTATTTCAACAAGCAGGGGGCCACAAGTGATCCCAGAGTTAGAACATCAAAATCTCAACAAGATTTTAGTTAATGCTACTGGGATCTGTACCATCCACTGCCTTGAGGGAATGTGAGGCAGGTGAGTGAGCCACCCAGGCCATGGGCAGAAATGACAGCACCCCTCCCTCTAGTCAAGGGCTAACACCAGAAAACCAGCATGACCAGGAGAGGGAAGCAGAGTCCTCCACCTATGGGATGCTGGCCATGAGGGGCTCCCAGACCTAAGGACACAGATATATATGGCTTGGCTGCCTACCTGAGGCCTCATCACCACCCGTGTCACTGTGTGGGACCTGGACCTGAGATTGCTCTGTTGCCCCAGGGATCGAGACCAAAGACCCTCCTGAGAAGGTTAGGACCAAGGCCACTCTCAAGAGATCTTTCATGTCCTCACGGACTGAACAAAAACTGATCAAGGCAAGGCAGCTCATGGCTGGGCTCCTAGGGTAAGAGTACCTTCACCTAGTATCAAATGGAAACAGCACCGAGGATAGGCCAAGAGTAGCCTTCTGTGGCTTCTCCACCCTTGTCCCCTGGCAGCAATCACTTAGGGAGTGCAGGGCAGGGGCTCTGGACAGTGCTGGAGACAGGACCACACTCACGATGACACTCACTCATCATATTTGATGTGATACATGATGTCGTCCTCCAGGGTCATGCTGGCACTCGAGCTGCAGGGCTCCTCCTGGGATGGGGCTCTCTTCTGTACCTGGACCACCTGGGCCTCAAACCATGCACCCAAGGTGTTGTCACGTACATCCACGTACTCATTAACCTACAGGAAGCAAGGAGGCTCAGGGGACCCAGCAGCAAGGCAGGATCAGGGTCAAGGATTCAGGTTGTGGGACAGGGATCATATGGCCACACATGCCAGACAAGCGTCTGCACCCAGCTATGCCTACAAGTCTGACTCCATAGCCCAGATTAGTCCCACACAAACAAGTGCGCTGCCTCAGCCTCCAGAGTACAGGAGATTGTGGGTGTGAGCCACCACACTCCACCTGGAAGTAAACCTCAGCACTGTGGACAGTCAGTGGGACTGGACTATTCTGAATGGAACTCAGGTCAAAGTCACACTTCTGCTCTGATGGCCGTGACTACCTCCACAGAGGTTTGCTGACAGCAAGTAAGCAGGGACCACATGTGGTCCTAGGGTTCTGGGTGCTGAGCCACAACCAAGTCTCCATATTCCAGACTAGGCTCTCCCATGTAACTCCAGGTCTTTGGTAAGAAGCCGTGTCTTCACAAATCACAGAGGGTAGCTCTCATGGGGTATACTGTTCAGCCTCAAATACATAGGCTGGGATTCCCAACCTCCAGTTTATCAAATGCATAGACATTTTAATCTTGGTGCAACTCCCTGAAGAGAGTTCAAAAACATCAGCTGCTGTGCCAGCTGTAGAGGTGACACCTGCAGGTACCTTTTATGACTGTCAGTGTAGTGAGGGTCAGGGTTGGCAGTGCACAGATCTGGGTTGGGGCAAATCCAGAAAGCCACTGTCACGCCTCCACACACCTGCAGGGAGTCTCACCTTGTACAACCCCAGCTCCGTGTCCTCCCACACAGTCTTGTCATCCCCTTCAACAGCCCCTTCACCATGCGTGGACGACTTGTCCGACTCGCTCTGACCCACACCATAGCCAGAGTCAGAGTCTGAGAGCTCCGAATCCCGTTCCTTCGTACTGGGAGGTAGTGCCAGACTCTGGCGCACCAGCAGCTGGATTGTGTCATTGAGGCGCACATCATAATCGAAGAGTGTGTGGCCGTCCTCCATCTGTGGGGAAATCCAAAACAGACTGTCTTCCACAAAGGCCTGGCATGGGGCAGGGGTAGATGGGGAATACATGGGCAGCCAAAGCCCTGTCCCAGGCCTAGGCTCTCTCAGCGGACACAGAACACTGTCAGCACCCACAGAGAGCCATGAGCACAAGCAACTCAATGCCTCCATGCTGTGGATGTCCAGGGGGTCCCCCTTCCAGGGGAGACTTACTGAACTAATACTGAGTAGGGTTTAGGGGTTCATCTCAAACTCCTGGTCCTCCTTCCTCCACCTGACAAAGGCTGAGAAAGCAGGCAGAGGCCATTAAGCCAGTTTATGTGTTGCTGAATGGTGTTGCCAGGAGAGGAGCTCCTGGCATTGAGGTGGGTATGTTGGCCAGCACGCTGTAGGGCCCAGGCCCTACAGAGACAGACTAAAGCCTATGTCCCATGGTGTCCAAGGGCAACCAGGGGGACCCACAGCACAGTCCCTAAGAATTTTTTCTGATGCTTTCCTCCAATTTCCCCCATGCTCCTCCTGAGCTAGGGACCCAAGGAGTCATTTGTGGCCCCACAGAAGTCCCTTCCATGTCATATCTCACCATGGGCTCTTTTCCCCTCTGTAGGTCAGAGGCACCTCCCTGTGACAGCCACATACACTGGTAGGAGCTCCCTTAGGGGTGGAGTCACTCAGTGACTGAAGGGGGTCAGTCCCTAACAGGGACCCTATTGTCATATAAAGAACTATTGGGATTGCAGTGAGTTGGATCCCCCAAATCTTAATGGGGAAGGCATGTGAGAGAAAGGCTTGCAGGCCCATGTGGCCCTACTATGGTAGAACTGAGAACAGGCCTGGACTCCTAGTGCACAAACTGTTAGAGAGGGGGACACAATAAGGAATGGGACTGTTTTCTCTTCAGGATTCTGTGCATGCGGGAATAGGAATAGGCTCTGTAGTACTCCACAGGAACAGGACTCAGCAGGAAGAGGATTCTGCGGGAAGAGACTCCCAGACTCTGCGGGAACAGGACTCTGCGGGAACAGACTCCCAGACTCGGCGGGAACAGGCCTCTGCGGGAACAGACTCCCAGACTGGCGGGGACAGGCCTCTGCGGGAAGAGACTCCCAGACTCGGCGGGAACAGGCCTCTGCGGGAACAGACTCCCAGACTGGCGGGAACAGGACTCTGCGGGAACAGACTCCCAGACTCCGCGGGAACAGAATCCCAGACTCCGCGGGAACAAGCTCCAGGAGAAAGGGACTCTCTTCAGGAACTCTGAATGCCAGAAAGGGACTCTGAAAGAACTAGCGACTAAGGGAATGAGACAGCTTAGGGGACAATGTGGTCAGAAGTCCATGACCACCCTGAAGACACGCTTACATTGAGTCCAGGACCCATACTCCACCTATCACAAATGTCACCCAACACAGGGACTTTACACCACAGGTCAGATCTGGGGATCCCAAAATGGATAGGGAGCTGGGGAGAAGATACTCGCTGTGCCCAGTGTAGGAAGTCCTTCCACAGATGGACAAACACTGCTATGTGCCATCCACACAGTGGAACACTACTCAGCTATGAGCAGGAACACAGCTAAGGGAACAACCGAGGCCACCTGGCATTCATGTACACACAATGCAAATGCCTAAAACGTTTTTCATATACAAAGCAAAATATGGTAGTTGCTGGGCCCAGGGTTTGGTGGTCAGCACTGGAATGGCCAGGAGTTAGGGCCAACAGAGTGGGTAATGAGACCATATAAGCCTCCGCCCTAGTCCTGTCATCTAGGAACCTACCAGGCTGCCCCATCATGGTCACAGCCCCTGCTCAACACACAGGGCAGGATAAGGCTGGGACCTGCTTAGGACAGACTCACCCTGCAGTTCTAACTGCAACTCCGAACTCACAAGGCCGGTTGGACAGCTTCTGGCTGCTGCTTCTGGAACTATCCAGAAGGGCAACCACAGAAGAACTCAAATAGCCAAGGAATTTGAAGCAAGGGAGAAAAGATACAGAAGGGACCTGCTCAACACACAGGGCAGGATAAGGCTGGGACCTGCTTAGGACAGACTCACCCTGCAGTTCTAACTGCAACTCCGAACTCACAAGGCCGGTTGGACAGCTTCTGGCTGCTGCTTCTGGAACTATCCAGAAGGGCCCCATGGAAGACAGGTAGAAGCCTGCACTACCATGTGACTAGGTCTGCGAGTAGTGCCCCCATCCATATCCCACTTGCCAAGTGATAGGCTAGGAAACTCAAGCATGTGAGCCCAGGTTTTGGTCACCCTTGGGGCCATCTGTCACAGGGGACAGGACACTCTAAGAGCCTAAAGGTCCAGCTCCCACTCAATGACCTCAATAACTGAGTGCAGCACTTAGTCACACACACCTCCTGCTAATTTCTAAAATTAAACCCATGGTAGGCGCAAGTGTGTACTAGTGTGTGTGCACTAGGCCCTGGACTCCATCCCCAGTGCTACATAAACCAGGTGCTAACATGTGCTGTCAGCCCATCTCAAGAGGAAACAAGTATTCAGGGTTATCCTTGGCTACATAGTGGATTTGACTGCAGCCTGGGCTACATGGGACCCTTCATCAAAGTAAACAAAGGCTAGTGAGACCGCTCACAGCAAGTGAGAGCACTTGCCCTGCAAAGCCTGATCCCTTCTCAATGTTGTCCTCTGACCCCCCCAACACACACACCAAGGTGCAAACACACATAATAGCATCCAAAAACAACAACAACAAGTAACATTTTCAGACAAAACACCCGAAACCCTGAATAGCTGGGGTAACAGGAGACGTTACCTATCTATTCACTCAAAAGATGGCTCTGGCAGCTTTTGTCCACACTACTGAGAGATCTGCTGTGGCTCCTGTGAAGGGGGTAGGAACCTTGCCTTACTTGGCTTGTCACATGATCCCAGCTGGATGGCACCTTTCAAGTTACTCTTGCAAGGTTATGGCTCCGGGGCCACTGCCATGCTGTGTTACCACAACCTGAGACAGGCGTTGGCCCAGGCACTCTGTTCCCGACCCTTTTTTTTTTTATTAGGGAACAAGGTTTCCCGCAGCCCAGACTGACTCTGGCCTCCACAGGTAGAGAAGACTGGCTATGTACTGTAATGGCAGGTTTCCGGTACTGGGGTGGACACCAGGCTCTGTGCACATCAACAAGTGCTGGACTACTCTCAGCATAGCTGAGGTCAATCATCCATGAGACCAGATGATATGAAGAGAGAAAGAAGTATCCTAAGGGCTTCCAGGGTGATGTCTAGAACTGTATTAACAGTGGGGAGCCCTGACATAGAGATACCTGCATTCCCCGTGGGGACCCTCGGCTGAATTTTGGGGCCTCCATCACCAAGCCAGGACCCGCTGAACCCGTAATACATCACCACATGAAATAACAACCAGTCAGGCCATGCATGTTCCTTGAACAGAGAAGCAAGGGACATAGCAGCCATTAAATCCTGCATGTACTGGGTATATTGAAGGCTATTTCCAGGTGTGATTTTAAGATAACAAAAACAGATCTACCAGACACATCTCACTTTGCCCAGAATCCCCTCCCACATACCCAGGACCCTGCTCAGAGACAAGGGGGACAGGACACACCAACTCCCTGACACTGTCCATCTTGCACCTTTTAGCTTTGAAGTTTCAATGAACCCAGGCAGCTGGGCCACAAAAACAAGGAGAAAGCCAGCATGCCACAAACCTTCTAGAACCTTCTGTAAGAAGGACCTACTTGCATGTTTCTGTTGCTGTCAACCACCACAGAAGCAGCCTTTCCCGGGCTCTTTGCCTGTCCCCACCTCCCAGCCCCTTGCTCCCTCCCCCCATGGCCTGCTGTGTCCCCAGGAGCCTGCTGCAGCTGGAGAAGTTGCAAGCTGGGGAACTTGCGTCAGAAACCGGAAGCCACCACCTGCTCCCTGACAAAGCCTACAAAGCTGCCGAATGGAAGGCGGCTAGGAAAAGGATCAGGCAGTAGCTCGGGCTGCGGCTGGGCACCCTTCTAGGCACGCTCAGGAGGCAGAGGCAGGCAGATCTGAGTTCCAGGCCAGCCTGGGCTATGTGAAACCCTGTCTTTCAATAAAAATATAACAACACTGCTCAGGGAGAACCCGGACAAGCATTTCCACCAGTATGAAATGGTCCCAGAAATGTGAGCCCAGTGACTTGAGAGACAGCAAGAGGTGCCAGCGGAAAGCCAAGCAGACAGAGTTGAATCTCTGCAGTGGGTAAGACCACTAAAGTTTGGGTCTTTTCCTACCCAATATAAACTTGGCCAGCTACAGTTCCCAGGAGAGAGACACTGCTAAACCAGTACACTGGGTATGGAATGAGCCGCCATTGCAGGCAATCAAACATGGGGCCTGCCAGCACACAACCCAGCAGCACCAAGAACACCCCACATCTGGGAAAGGGGTCAAAGGGCAGTCACAGTCACACTGCCATCACCTGGGCACAGCCAGTTAAAGAAATGAACCATGGGACCCATCAGACCTGACACCAGAGGGCAGCAGTGCCCTGTCCAAACACAAAGGAGGGTACGGGCCATGGAAATAGGGACTTCAGATCTACTTAGAACCTCCCCCACCCCCACCCCGGGCTGCAGTGCACCCAACTCCAAACCGACCTTTGCAGGCATGTACCCATACCAGAGACCCCAATGCCAGCACATGCTACTCTCCACACAAAACACCAATGAAAGAAGAAAGCCCAGCCAGGTGCCAACAATAAAAAGTCCAAGCGTGGGCAGCTGGGCTGCAAAGAAGGCCATTTTAAAGGCCACAGGGCTGGAGAGATGGAGTGGAGAGGTGCAACTAGGGGGCTGCCCCCCCAAAGGGCCACTAGTTCCATTCTCCCCATAAGCCTAAGCGAATGAAATTTCTAATTAGTGAGTAAAGTAGATCCTCAGGGGTTTGATGTCTCATGGGAGCAAGCTGTGGGCGATCAGGGTAGATTTCAAAAGGAAAACCTGGTCCCCTCTCACTGCTACCGTGTGAAGACTGTTGGAGAAACTTTAATCTGCAACCCCCTTGAGCCCTCTGTTGGCCACTTCAAACTTTTCCCTCTAGACAAATGATTTAGAAGACGACTTTAAAGGATAATTAAAAAGGTAGCAAGCTTTGCAGTGTAGAGACCAGCAGTGGCCGGTGTTGAGGCCTGCCTTTGTTCACCCTCCCCCCAGCATCTGAAGGCACTGAGGAGGGGGGTAAGTGGGGGGGGGCACTCTTGATTGGTGGCCTTGAGAAGCAGGGTGCCTGGAACAAAGCTCAGTGGGCGGATGGAAAGCTTCCTTCCGTACCGGGCCCATCTTACCTGTTTGCCCCTGTAAAAGAGTCTCTGCAGTTGGGGTTCCACATGAAACAGTTCCGCAATCTTCTTCCTCAGCTCCTGCACTTTGGTCAACCTGGACAGAGAGTCCACGGTGTGGGTCTCCTTCCCATCCATGGTTCGAACCTGGATCCACATGGTGCCGATAATGCTACCGGGATACAAAGGGAGAGAGAGACTCGAGTCAGTGTGGCCGGCCAGCAGGCAAGCAAGTGGGGGACCCTCACCCCAGTAGCTTTCTTCACATCTGATTGAGCAAGAAGCAGCTCCCAGGATCAACCTTCTGGGGTCCAGGCCCCTCTACACGACCAGACCGCACCTTGGAGGACCAGGTGGCATAAATTAGGCGCTTAATGTTTTAATAACCAGTGAGTAGAGACACTTGAGCGTGGAACACCAAAGTCAAGACAAGCCACAACTTCAAAGAGAGAGAAGGAAAAAAAAAAAGCAATATCAACGGCGAGAGAAAGGCGCTGGTCAGGCTAAGTGGTCGCTGCTGCTCATTCATTCGTTCACCCATTCATTCATTTATTCATTCCACACAGTCCAAGTCCCAGTAACGGGAACTCCGAAGCGAACCGGAACTTCTCAACTCCCAGGAGGGAAAACTCGGTCACAGAAGGCAGGATCCCCCCACACAACCCATTCTGGACCCC